TACTGAATACATGATCAAGAAGCCTATCAAACAAAAGAAGCAGTAGAGAAGCAATGAACTGCAGATAGTCTCATAATAAATGCATAGCCAAAAGTTAAAAGCAAAGTAGCACCTCTAGCAGAAGAAATAGGGGCAAGCCAGTGTTGGCTGCCAATACTTGTAATTGTCGGATAAAATTTTTGATCTGTACATCCTTGGGTGTAAATTGAAGCCGATCATAATCTAGGCCGATTTCTCCAATGGCCACTACTGATTGGGACATAATAGTTAATGAAGGTCTTTACAGTATCAATGTATTGGTGGATTGTAGTAATGGGTGGCAATGCCGGCATGGACGAGTTGGTGTCGTTAAAAGATGAGTTGTTCAGTGATGGACAAAGTGTATCCAAGTCAATGTGCTGCAGTTGTTCTTGTTGTTGAGTCTTGGAAATGTTGGCCAAATTGCTTCTGACTGTCTGCAGGCTTTCTGCAATTGCCATGCCACGAAAGGCAACTGCCTCTACTTCATTATTGATGCTTCCAACTTCATCCAGACTGTTGAGGAAAGGTGACAACCCGTTCCTGGTCATGAGTAGTGTCATGACAGGTATCAGAATGGAGCAAACTAGAAAGAGCCATTGGAGTCTCCATGCTCTCAGAATTTGTTTTCGTCTTATGTGCCGTGGTATTTTCGCCTTTCGCATCTTGGCCACATCCAATGTTTTTCCTCCAGCCGCACAGCCAACCCATTTGTGGGGAAAGGCCAGCTTCAATACAATCAACACGAAGACCCAGAGGTAGACAATCAGAAGTAGAAAGAAGCAGAAACTCAGCATCCCTCGGATGTAGTCTTCTCGAGTACTTCTGTCATCGGATGCCAGACTGGCAATGGCAATGGCACTGCCATGGCAAAATCTACGTCACCGCCAACACTTGGTCAGGTCACTCGCCTTTCTTTGTTGCACCAAAGACAGTCTCGCACAATGAACTCACCTTGGCAGATTGTGTAACGCGTTCACCAAGCGACTCTATAACGAGTGAAAGAAGACTAAATAACATCTGTGAGAGAGGAAATGAGAGAAACAAGAGGCCAACTGGCGGCACCATTATCACACCTGTTGGACTTCATGTTGATTCATGATTCGTTTTGGAAGACGAGCAGAGCCTACACGATCATATCTATGCACATGAATCTATAGAGGTTATTAGCAATGGGTTTCAACGACACATCTGTCCTTCAAGAAGAACCAGGTTGATGACCATCTCAAAGGGAATTGTTCGTTTATTGTGGTGGATGTTCCTGACGTACAGTACGAGGCCTACGAGCATTCAAACTTCTCATCTCGCCGAGAGTGCAACGTGGATCCGTCAATCCACGCCGAGGCTGACGCTGCCAACTTGAAACTTCATCCATCTGGCTTAGATTGAATAGATCGCACACTTGATCCACAAGAAAATGACTCTGAACTTCAAAATTGCAATAACATACAGCGTACTAGCTAGTCTAGCTAGTAGCTGGCTGGAGACTCTGCCTGGGTACCGGTAGGTAAACGGATTCTGGTTTTTCACCGCGCAACTATTGAATTTAACAAACTATTGGGTCGGTGGCTGCATCTGCCTTCACGATTATATAACAGTGCTGTAAGAATGCGATGAGCCACATCATGCTGTGCTTCCTCGTTGTTAGAAAGCCATGTAGCCAAAGACAACCGCTCCAAAATAAGCCAGGAAGCTGTTGGTCATCACAGAACCAGAAGTAATTTTAGTATCCCTCATAGTGTCGGCAGCACTTTTGCTAAGAACGGCCGTGTCGACGGTAACGCTTGCATTGGCATCACACTGAGCGTACTTGGAGCTGTTGAAATCGACAGAGGAGAGATACAGGATTAGTGGCAACGTGGTGGTGACATCTCCGGGCGGGGGAATGGGGACCTCCCCGGGGCGAGGGAGTTCACTGAGGACTCCAAGGTCCATATCTCCAAGGTTGATTCCTGCTAGACCGACAAGCTCGCATTCCTTCATCACCTCGGTCGAGCGACTGGTCTGAAAAGTCACACCAAGACTCAGGCCAGTCTCAATCATGTTGGGTAGCCCGCCGTCCCGGCTGTCAATAAACTGCTCAAAGCCATCCTCCGTCGAGATTTCAATGTAACGTGCGGTAGTGCAGCCCTCGTTCCAAAACCCGTGGCTGATGTTGCGTGGCTTGAGGATATGATCACCGGGACCGGCATGGAAGCGAAAGCCATCGGCTCCGCCAATCTCAATTTCGAGCTCTCCCTCTATGATGAACATGCTCTGATCTTCGTTCTCGTGCATATGGAAACCCAACAGTTCTCCAGGACGAACCACGCCCTCCATAATTGACGCGTGTCCACTGAGAAGGCCGTTGCGAAAGACAATTTCCATGTCAGCAGATGTTTTTTCCGCTTCGCCTTTCCTGACCAAGACATCGTCAGCAGTGACATCGAGGCCGACGGCAAAAGAGGACATGATAGCAAAATAGGCAAGGAACGTAGTGGCAAAAGTGAGCGACATGGTGCTGTGGGAATGTGTTTTGTTGTTGTTGTTAGTTTGAAATGTTAGGTTGAAATGTTAGTTTGCGTTTTGTGAGCTCAACCAAACTCGAAGACCTATCTGATAGATAGAGAGCAATCACCCGGTCACCATGTCCTGTGCCGAAAGTGTAACCCGGGGAGGTGGCTCAAACCAGCCCTCAACTTCCTCAACCACCTGCTCGTGTGAGCCGGCCGGCGTCCTGCTCACCAATTTGCCGCACCGCACAGAATGGTTTAAAGCCGCACCTCACCGCGCCGCACGGCATGTAAATCCGAAACTAGGTGGTTGGGGATATTGAAAGCTGGTTTGAGCCACTCTCTCGGGGACGATGCGGAGTTGGCTACTCTACTGTACTGTATCTACTACTAGCTAGTTACTAGCACAACGAGTGGGAGCAACTCGGGGACAATGGAATGTGGAAAGATGAGGTCATATCCGAGTCGAGTCGCCAGCCTCACCCCACTTGTTTTGAAGTTGAAAACGTCGCACAATTGATCTAAGGAGAAGAGGTCTTTGTGTTGATCCACTCGGCCATTCTGTTCATGTTGTCTTCCAGGTCATCGGCGTTGACTTTTCCGTATGTGGTGTCCAAGTGGATGAGGGTGGCCAATGCTGTCACCTGTGCATATCCATACATTTCGTGCTTCAATGATTTGATGAATGTGTCGGGGATAGCTTGTAGGAGTTGCTTTTGGAGTGCCGTTTCTGTTGCTCGGTAGGTTAAGAATGTTTTTTCGTTGGATGCATACAAGCGGTTGGTCTCGGTGATTTGTGCACTGTTGGGGGCATCTCCATGAATGAGATTTGGCCCTGGGTGGACTGGTGTGACCCATGGTAGAGCATTGGGGAGTGCTGCGAATGCTGCGGGGGTGATGACTAGGGCGAGATGGCCGTAGCTTCCTCCGCCAAGGGTGGAAGGAACGGCCATGGCATTGGCATTCAACTCTTGGTGGATGGTTTTGAGGGTGTTGTAGGTGGGCTTTTCATCAGCCGAGATTGCCATCTAGGTGGCATTGGTGAAGTGGTCGAGTGCCACAAAGGAAGACATGGTGGTTGGTGTTGGTTGACTGCAGCTAGTAGTGAGAGCTTGTGCTGTTGCTCTTCACTGTCGATGCGGTGGAGAGTTTGTCGATTTGAATAGTTAGATTGTTAATAACTGTTGATCCAGGCAGGTAGCCTAGTGAAGAATTGTTAGTAAAGGTTTGCTATTAACAATTATGAGCATGGTAACTGTCCCAAACTGGAGCACACAGGCCCAGCTGGGGAGTATCAACTCTAACAGCTGCTAACTAACGGTTTTGGCTACCCTGCTTGTGGGATTACAAGCAGGGTGAGAAACTAGGGGGCTTGCTTGCATATTAATAGCGGCTGGGATCTGGTACATGACTCAAAGACTTAAGGGTCATGGTACCAGATCAACACTTTGCCCGCTACTGAAGATGACCTCTCTTCTTTCCTTGCTTCGCTGAACCGTACAGATGCTATTTTAAAAAAGTACCGATCAGTTGACTGGTGTCAACTTTTTCCTATTCCAGTGGGTTCTATTGTTCTATAACCCTATTTCAGCCCCCTATTACAGCCTACTAAACCCCTGAATCCTTACCCTGACACTATCACTATTGCTATACTTCCTTCCTGCTAGTATTTGTTGCAACAAACCATCCTGCCAATGAACACCCTCACATTATCCCATCAAATCCTCAGGTCTTCCAATCCGACTCTTATAAGAGAAAGAAGGGCAAATACAAGTACAGCCATGACCAACTTCGGGCTGCTGTCAAGGCAATCCCCATTCAACAACGAAGAAGCATGAACTGGCTTGCACGAAGGGTTGGAGTGCATCGATCCACCCTCACGTTGATGCAAGGCAAGAAAGATGACATTGGATTCGGCTTGTGGAATTTATGAAACCACAAAATGATACTCATAGGCGAATCTAACCATGCCGATAGGCAGGTACTGTATATCGGCAGCCCACTCAAGCATCCCAACCATAGAGCTTCAGTGAGTTTTCAAAGCATTGATCTGCCACCTCTTGCAACGGTATTTCCTTGACCCCTGCCAACACTTCTGCCACTTGAATGATCTGACATGGTTCACAACGTCCCTTGACCATCACCCCCTTTTCAAATTTCTTTTCTTGCTTTGTTGGAAATGTTGTCTTGACGTGGTGAAATCCTGCATGGGTTCGCTTGACTTCGCAGTATGGGCAATCTGTCTCCAGGAGAACCTTGTCCAATGGTAATTCTTTGGCCACTTGTAGATTGGTTCCTTCTCTCAAGGAGCACCCATTCAAGCCAATGTACAATCCCAGATCATTGACGAATTTCATGGCCAAATCGTGAGAATCATCAAAACTGTGAACGACACCACCGCGTGTCCAACAATCTTGGTGTTCCTTGAGTAAATCGTAGAGGTCTGATCCAACACTTCGATTGTGAAGGAATAGGGGCAAGCCAGTGTCGGCTGCCAATACTTGTAATTGTCGGATAAAATATTTGATTTGTACATCCTTGGGTGTAAATTGAAGTCGATCATAATCGAGACCGATTTCTCCAATGGCCACTACTGATTGGTCTGTCATGCCATCCTTGGCAATTTCAAGGAGTCGCTGCAAACGGGCTTCATCGTCCTTCCCATCGTCGTCGTCCTCCCCTTGTACAAACTCTTGTAAACATCGAGTGGGATGCACTCCCACGGTACAGCTAAAGTGAATGCCCGTAGATTGTTGTGCTTGTCGCAATTTTCGCACTTGCTGGACAGCGTTGGCAGACTCTTCGATCGTACCGGCTGTCATGATAATGTGACGGACACCAACCTTGGCAGCTCGTTCCACCACCTGGTCGAAATCAGGTTCATGTCGTGGCTTTTCGTGGTACACACCCTTGGTGAATCTATCATCCAACAGATTGGCGCCAATGTCCACAAACCTCAGTTGCGACATCGTGGTCAACCCACGGACAACAAGTTTATGATAACAGGACAAAACAGTGATGGTGAAGATGGTGGCAGGAGTGAGAAACAAACAGGGACGGCGACGAGGCAATAATATCATGGCCATTCAAGAACTGAGGTGTGCGGTTGTGCGGCGTGCAGTTGGCTGTCATCGACAGGATGATGATTGACGTCTTGAGTTCGAGACCCGAGAATGACAGTCCAAATAATGACCCTTCAGACGTCCGCTCAGCCGTTTTAGAATTGTGAAAATTGCAGGGGCACGTGGCACGACTCAGCCTGCCTCTCCCGTAGAATTCTACGTTAGTCCTTATTGTTAAGATTATCCATGAAGTTTTCTGCGACACCGGCCATTCTTTGTCGCTGTCAGTCAGCCTAGCTAAAGCTACATGTAGGAAGTCCCACCCCCTACCGGTATGGCCAGCTGGCTAGTTCAAGTTGGTAAACGTCGTAGCAGTTTCCTGGATAGAATACAATAATTTGCTGGAAAGAAGGGATGAGCCGCCCGTCTAGCCAAATGTTCTTGGAAGAAGGAGGCTCAAACAAGCACATTGGCCTGTGCTGATCAAACAAACACTGTGATGAATGGAATAGGGGTCGTGTGCAGACAGTCACCAGCCTAAACACTGGGATGAGGTACATCGGCAAAAAGCAAACACATCTGTGAGAAGTGAATGCACGGGCATTTCTTTATGCTACACGGACGAGGACACAGGTCCCACTCATACACAAGAACACTTTGCCAGCCAATTCCTGGACCTTTCAAAGGAACATCATTTTTGGCAAGATTCTATGGCAAGGCAATCCTATCACTGCAGTCAAGACCTTTGGGACCCTCAGCTGAGGCTTTTGCATTCACAAACACCTTGAAATCATTAAGCCAAAGACTGTCACTCATGAGACACCCCCGCCTCCTCATCAACTAACTGATGCCATGACTTCTTTAGTGTTCTGCAGGCATAGTTTCACAGGTACCTTAGAAAAGATCACCCATCACTGATGACTGTCAATAGTTATGTTGATGGAAGCTGAAATCTAGCTATCGGTTACAGTACCACAGATCGAACCAATAGTCGTTCGCCATTCCAGACTCACAGTAAATCAAGCTAGATTTGTCACTTCTCGGCTGGAACCATTCCTTCGGTGCCAAATCAATGGCTCCTTCAGCTAGCTAGACCCCTTCATGACGGATGGGTTGTGTTTGGGGAACTGCGGCTGTACCAGGTACATTCTGCCGGGTACTTCAGTCAGTGACTTGGACGGACGGAGCAATAAACATTCTTAAATTTGGGGATCCATCGTTTTAGCACAGGGCGATACCTCATTATTGTTTGGATACTTAGATGATTGGCAATCATTATTCCATGCCTCCGAGTACATTAAACTGTACAGTACATCGCGTTTTCATTTCTTCAGCAATCAATGGTCAGTGCCGTAACTGTCATCCACGCATGTTTGAGAGCGCTGTGAAAACTGTGTGAGGCACACGTAATGATCGTATCAGCAAAAATGAACATTTGCGATAGATCCTTGGACGCAATTAGAGTGCGCCATCTAACATCTGATACATGTACATAGCTATCGCGAGGGTTGGATCAGCACACAACTTGATGCATTATCTGATGAGAAAATCCATGGATTAAGCTCTCTCGATCTATCTTCCTTCCTTTCTTTCTTTCCCTCCTTCTGGTGTCCTCTGCGGATCGACGCTACCCAAAAGATACATTTCTGTCCCAGAAAACAGTTTCCTTTGATCCCAGAAAAAGAATGACAACCATGGTTTCGAGGACGGTAACTTCCAGGCGAAGCCTCGTCTTTCTGTTTGCTCTGCTGTCGTTGCAGTCGGTGGAGTCACTTCGATCAGGAGGGCCCAAGGGAGTTTCTTCGGCGAACCAGCAAGTCCGGTTGGATGAATTGAAACTGGAAACTGCCTCCAACGTGCCACAACGACGAAAAAACGTCAAGCATGTTCTCACAAGAGGCATGAAACAGAATCGTCGTAGGGCGCAGAAAGAAAAAGACAAGGATGACACTGACGATGAGGATTCTGGTACGAAGAGATGAGGTTTTCATTGACTTGCTTCGTTTCCTTTCCATTTGCTAACACATATTGCATTGTTTTCAATTCGTTTTGGTTCCATCTTTTTAACACTCGCCTACTCACGGTCCAACGTCAGCTCCTACTTGGAGTCCGACATCATCTCCTACTCGGAGTCCGACATCATATCCCACTCGGAGTCCGACATCACCTCCCACACCGGCCCCAACCGCTAGATCAAGGAGCACCAGAGCACCGGGACCGAGGCCAACGAGGAATTCCTCGACTTCGTCGTCAGGTACACCTGGAGGTCACAGCGTCGGAGGAATAGTGATCACTTTACCACCTCAAACGGGAGTTGGAAGCGGTTCACGTGGAGATCCAGAGCAGTCACTACCCACCAACAATCCAGCTCTGTCGATACCGGCAGCGACGCAACCACCAATGGCCCAACCACAACCAACCAGTGGAGGACTCACCAGTAATGGCATCTTTGTTACTTTATTTCCCTATGCTGCGACTATGACTCCGTTGACACCGCCTCCTCAGCAGCAAGCGGCGACTTCAGTGCCCGCTATGGTAACGAATGTCCCCCTTCCAGCCAATCCTGGCACAAGACTGACTCCATTTCCTACTCCAGAGCCCACTACGAATCCTCCAACCCGCAAACCAATCACTCCTGATCCAACATCTAGACCAACAGATGTTCCTTCTGCCTCCCCTTCCATCTCTCCTACCGGTGAACCGAGCAGTATTCCATCACAGCTTCCGACTGGAGCCCCCATCAATGAGCCATCTGGACAACCGACTCAATCGCCAAGCACGGAGCCAACCCAGCAACCTACTCAGTCTCCTTCAATAGAACCGTCGTTGGGCCCATCTGAGTCGCCAACGTTATCATCATCGCCGACACCTTCTCCATCCAGCACTCCGACTGGATCCCCGGTCAACTTTCCGACGACGCCTTCCCCCACCAGTCATCCAAGCGACCAGCCCACCTCTTTCCCAAGTATATCCCCGTCAGTCGCCCCCTCAATGAAGCCGTCAGTCGCACCGAGCCAAGCTCCAACAACCAATGTTCCCAGTCTGGCCCCCAGTGTCGCTCCAAGCATGGAATCAGACAACCCGACGCATGTCCCGTCAAGTGCGCCTTCGTCTTTGCCCACTAACAGGCCTACTACAAGAGCCCCTCGCGCCACAAGTGCTCCTGTCTCTCGTCCGGTGGTAAACAGAACACCGGAGCCGTCTTACACCATTGAAGCAGCCCAAGAAGAAACATCTGCACCAACCCCAAAGCCCACCTATGGCATCGACCTTCAAACACTTCCTCCTCCTTCCAAGCCAGCTTCACAGATTCAAACTCAGGCTTCCGCAACTCTACCGCCCACTGGAGCTGACAGGCCCATTGCTGACCTGAATGCCAGTGGTGGAATCGATGCTCTCGGGGAAGTCAAGGGAGAAACTACGCTGGAGTTCTCCTTGTGGTTCCCAGACCATCGAGCTAGTGACTTGGATATCATTAGTGTGGAAAACTCCGTCCTGAATAGTTTGGAAATGCTCTTTTGTGACAGGCATACACCTGCATTGACCATTGACATCAGTGATGACCTATGTGTCCTCAAGGACGAATCAATTGGGGTCCAAGTGGCTGTCATCAAAAGTCGAAGCAGCGGAAACCAGGGAACAGATTTGTTGGTAGACTTGGATGCAACAGTTTTGTTTGCGCCATTCGTGTCCTACCTGGATGAAAGATTTGTGGTAGAAGGGGATAAAGCATTCTTTTGGACAACATGGAAAGTATCGTGGGAAGTGTACCAAGTTGGCCGACCCCTGATGCAAGACGTCTTGACACGACAAGCTGCAAGAGGAGAAGCATTGGGCTTAGGAGAAGGGAAGCACCTTGTGGGTGCCCAAGAAATTCAAAACAGGATGATGATTGTTATGGAAGCAAGCATTCTGAGTGGAGAATTTAACGCCATCCTCAAGACAAGAATGATTGGAATTCCTGTCTTGAGTAGCGTGTTGGGATCAGAAATGACAACATTTCAGTTTTTGGATCAACCAGGAATGGACACAGCTGACAACAATGACAACGACGAGCCGAATGTCAGTCTTCAGACTGCAGACGATTCTGATACGATGTCCAGCGGAACCAAGACTATCTTTATTGGGATCATGTGTGCTTGCTTCTTCTTTGCCGTTGCTCTAGGAGTTTACTATAACTCGTACAAGCCAACAATGAGAGCAAGAGAAGCTTGGATGACTGAAAGTCAAAGGCACGGCTTGGATGCTTCCGAGGTGTGCGCTGCAATGAGAGACAACACCCATGCTAGCGGAAGCCTTCATAGCAGCAATGAACGTCTAGTCTCAACACAATCCCCACCAAGAATTGACTCTCTAGAGGACGGACTCGAGCAGCCCCCACCAGCTAATGAGATACCGGAAGAAACCAGTGACGATGGCACGGATGCCTACATGAGCGCTATCAGCAGTCTTAGTCTTGGATGGTCTATGGAGTCAAAATCAGTGGAGAAAGTAAGCGGTCAATCGAACGAAGCAGAAGACGTTGGAGACGTGGAAGACGCAGGACAGGTACCACCACCGACTGTAACTGAAGTCCCAGCTGTGGACGTTCTCAGCGACCTTGGCACAGATGACAGAGCATCGACAATGAGCGGTGTTGACTTTGGCTGGTCCCTTGATGGAATGGATGCACACTGGAAACCCTGGACTACCAAGAAGTCCTAAGTCGACCGCGCCTTGTTTGCTTCATCCTTTCTTTTGCCCTTTTGTAAATTGTTGCTCCACTTACTTTTTTTAGCGAAATTCCCAAATGCATATAAACATGACCTTTGCTTCAACATATCTTTCACTTCCCTGATTGTGGAGCAGTATCGGTTGAAGAGAGTCACAGTTGTGGACAAAGCCTGCAAGAAAAGGTGCACTCAATTGTCTCGCTATAGCAACAGACGCGACAGCCAGTATTTCAGGTCAATTGGTGGCTGCACGGTCAGTTGTAGCTTGTCGTGCAACTTTGGAAAGATTCCCTTTGGATCCAATCTCCTTTTTAACACGTCATACAAGCTTCCGTCGACATGTTGGTTGTAGAGAGTCTCTGTGGTCATGTTGGTTTGTGAATAGAGCATCTTGCGGCCTCCTAGTTCGAGCATTTTCACTTCCATTGCCGCAACGTACTCGATTCCTCGATTGTCGCCGACTCGGCCCCATACCGCTACATTGACCAACACTTTGTCCTCTTCTTGTAAACTCATTCCGCTCGGCGAAAGGGGCTGTTGCTGCCTTGGAGGCAGGACTGGGCAAAGCCAGATCGGAATGGATGTTGGAATGGATGTATGCAAAAACTTCAAATACTCTGCCGTCCTGGACGCCGGCATGTAGGCATCCATAATCACAAACTTTTCCGCAACAGCAGTCGGATGCAGCTTGTGCATGACACGGTAGAGGTTGGAGGTGGAATATAGGCTGCCAAAAAGCCCTCGCAATGGACGAGATGCCATGAGAAACGGTCCAGCCAGATGCGGTTCTCTCCGAAGAGCTCCCCAAGAGAATTGAAGAGGACGAGCCATCCAGAAAGCTCCATAATCCCATCTGAACAAATAATCGTATATGGGCATGGTGAAGACTGCATTTTCTTGGAGATCCAGTCTATCTTGAATCTGTTCGTAGAACCAGAGACTGCTCGAGTTTACTTCTAGCTGAGAGTTGGTTGTCGAGTCGACCTTTTCCTCCATGTCTACGGTGAAGTCCCCAACTGCCACAGCCAATTCCCCACTGGGAAAGTAGATGGCATCAAGAAAATCATGGCTTTGTTGTTGTTGTTCCGGTTGAGCCATCGAAACTAAGGCTTGGATTCCTTCTGTGACTGTGACTCGGGGCATCTTTGGCCTGACAAGTTGGAGGGTAGCCTCCATGAGGATCCCCAAACTGCCATAGGATCCAGGAAGAGCGTGGAAAATGTCGGGGTGGCTTGCTTCCGATATGGTTGACAGAGTACCATTGGCCAACAGAACTACGCATTCAAGGACAGTGTCACTGAACTGCCCAAATCGAAAGCTCGAGCTCTCCAGAGCAGCTCCAACAATTGCACCTGCCACTGTTATGGATTTGAATTCCGGTACGACGGCTGGAATGAGACCGTGTGACAGCGTGGATTGAACGAGTTGCTCCATGGTTGCCTTGGCCTGGACTCGTACCGTCCTGGCGGCGGGATCCACTGCAAGGATCTGAGTCAGGTTCGACAGATCCAATGCATGATGGCGCCCGCTGTTCTTGTAGCTCTGATCTCGAACCACCGACGAGTCAGAGCTGGAGGCCAACACAATGGTTCGGCTCGTCTTATCCTGATGCTGTTGCTGAATCTGTTCTGACAACCGTTCATACTCGGCTATGGCAGCATCACAGGCGCCATTACTGTCTCCTTCCACATTGGAACACACCGATTCTGACACCGCATGCAAAACGAGGAAAAGGACGAAAAGCAGAGGTATCAGGATTGATGGAGTCGGGAAGTGGATGATTCGGCCACTAGTGTATCTGCTCATGCTTCAGCGTATATATGAGGGCTCTCGTACCGGTATACCAAGCGAATAACCCAGTGCGATATCATGTCCTGTGTCCGCGGTGTTGTTGCCCCCACTAGCTAGCAATGATCATACAGAAAGATGGACTGATGGGTGACTCAGTCATCACTCGAGGATGCTGGTATGGTATCTTTCCTGCCTGATGAATCTTTGCGAACTTTTGCACCTTGGCGTCTGGCCATCTGATACCAGTATCACGCACGAGGGAATTAAACTTGCAATGCACGACTGATCCACCAAACACTTCTGGGTCCAGCTTTCACTCGTTCAACCGGCTCACCATTGCGAATGCTTGACGCTTGACACCGAGGACAACTTCATTCAGAACACCCGCTCATTTCATTGCATCCACCCCATACCGTACGGATCAACACCACCAAAACACCAAACGCCACGACACAAAGCAAAGCGAAGGACCAGTAGACCATGGACGAAAGGGCTGAATTGATACCGGGCAGAAGATCTCGTTCCCACAATATCCCCGGAACGCCATTCACACCATGTGAACTCTTTGGTGCTCTTCTTTTCGTGCTTATGGTCGTTGTGCCTGTCTTTAGCTCTTGGTTTGTAGTGCCACCTGGTGAAATTGGTGTGGTTGTTACCCTAGGGCAAGTGTCGTCCTTTGGACAAGGCCTGCACTGGAGGATCCCGTACGCATCTCATCTTGTCATGCTGAGTGCCAAAACACAAAAGCTGGATGAACAAAACAATGTTCCCACAAAAGAAGGACTTTCCGTCCAACTTGACACTGCCATGTAAGTTGCTTGGTTCTCGGGTCCTTCACATACCCTAAAGGTGGAACTCACCAATCTTGGATACGCTTTGTTTTTAGTTTGTTTCGGCTTGATGCCAGCAAGGCCGGGGAACTGTATTCCAGAATCGGGCCGGACTATGTTAATGTCGTGATTGCCCCAGAAGCAGCCTCGGCTACCCGTGGACTCACGTCAGAGAGCGAAGCAAAAGAATTGTACACGTCCGGTAGAAATGCAATTCAGGACGCCCTCAAGCAAGAGCTGAAAGAAACTCTGGGTCCAAGAGGAATCATCATTGAGGATGTCTTGCTCAAGGATATTCATCTTCCAGAACAACTGGTGCGTAAGATCCAATACACGTTGGGAAAATCCTGATTCAAGCTCACCAGTCTTCTCAAACATCCTCGTTTCTGTTCTCAGACTCATGCAATTGAGGCAAAGGTGAAGGCCGAGCAAGATTCCCAGCGCATGCAGTTTGTACTGGCCAAGGAGGAGCAGGAAGCCAAGCGAAAGGCCATTGAAGCACAAGGCATTGCTGACTTTCAGAGAATTGTGAGCAGTGGGATCTCAGATGAACTCTTGAGGTGGAAAGGTGTAGAGGCAACAGAAAAGTTGGCCGAGTCCTGCAACTCCAAACTGGTGATAATGGGCAATGGAAGAGATGGACTTCCCGTGATTTTGAGTGCTGCAGATGATGGCATAGCGGCCCAAACATCATCAAACACCAACAATAAACAGAATCCGTAGGTGGGTCCATCAAGCTGAAATAAATAATATATCAAAGCTGTGTAGACTTTGGTCATGTGCCGCGGAATCAGAAGGAGGTGCCTTTCAACGTTGGTGCTGGAATTCCTAGTTTTGAAAAACCTGCTTGTTTGTTTCATGCCGTACAACTTTGTTGTCAATTAGCTCTTTCTCACCACTGCTCTGTTGATGCTCCCACCCTTGAAAATGTTTCTTTTGGCACTAAAGAGCCAATCCAAGCGCACCTCCAACAAAAGAAAGGTGCGTAACTAACTAGCTAGTCAACTCGTAATGTCTAAGCTTTCTTTCAACAGTGCGTATGTGTGGATTGTTAATGGCGTGGTATTACTGCGGCTCAGTTCTGTACCTTTGTGCTGTTTAAAGACAATGGAGCAACACAGTTCAAAGGACGAACGGCTGGATGTGCGCACAGTGGCGGTATGGAGTGCTAACTTTTTGTTGTGGGTAACTCTTTCGTCATAAAGCAATGTTATAGCGTACAAATAAATGCTGTTGGATGTGTGCGTGCGAATTGGAGGCAACGTCTAGTCGACCTTCTTGGTCTTTCGAATTCCCACACCATAGCGTTTGAAGAAGAATTGCAAGAACAAGAACAGGTAACTGGCATACATCACAAGAGTTCCTTGGATGTTGGTCATGTTGGCCCAGCAACCCTCGCTTCCAACATAGTTCAGAGAACTGAATGTAAGGAAGACACCCACAACCATCTAGCAGGAAGGATTTGAACAAGTAGAACACTAGTGAGCCTCAGGCACACAAAGCAGGCACATACCAATCGGCAAAGCCTAGCTATCCTACCTGAGCAATTTGAGTCACTGTAATTACAATAGGGTTGAACCACTGTGGAAGAGACGGTCATGTAGTTGGATCAGAAATCTGAATTGAGCTCCACAAACACATATAATACAATTCCCACCACCTACTCACCTTGGGCTTGCAGCGAACAGCCATCAAGAAGTAGTCTACAATCCAAATGAAAAATGGTTAGGAAATGGGGTTTCGTCAAAGGAATCTCCCACGGGGACCTGGGGTTGTTGCAAATACTTACAAAAGTACATGATAGCATGAACGCCGAAATTGACTGCGCAAAAGATCAATCCAGTGGGCGTCTCGTTGACCCATGTGTGCCAGCAGCAGTAGAGTACGGTGATGTGGTGATACCAGTGCAAGAAGAGCAACTTTTTCTTGTGGATGACAATGAAGAAGGTATCAAAGAGTTCCGCAAACTTGCTCAAAAGGAAGTACAAGCCCCAGTTGGCCACAGGACCAGCACCAACCAAAGAGTAGGGACTTTCGCAGACATTATCCCTCAGCCCGTAGTAGTAAATGTTGTGCAAAACTTGGGGGGCAACACGCATGAACCCCACAAAGCTGAACACACTCAACAGAAGATTCCAGAACGCCAGGGTATTCCTCCAGTTCCAGGCAGGACGATTCTTCATGTAGGCTTGTCCGCTAAAAATGGCCACCACATAAAGTGCGCACGCCACCAAGGGAATCCAGGGATTCGCCTCCATCTTGGAAGAAAACTTGAAGATGTAATCCGTCTCGTACTCCCATTTCATGTAGGTATTGCTTAGCGATGGATAAAGGCAAGAGATCTCCTCATAGTACAGCCTTTCCGAACCAGTCGCCCCGCCGCTCTCTCGGAGACACTCGCCCGTGGAATCAACAGGATGCCAAACCATGGTTGCTCAAATAATGAAAGACAGAAATAACGTTGGCAAAGAACACTGGAAAGGTACCTTCGGTTGGGTCTATTTTCATTGCCTCCAAAGAGCAGCCAAAGCAGTGATCGTCGTGGCATGGTGGCCGTCCTCGCCATGGACGACGTGGACGCGATGCGACGCAAGCAATCCAATGATCCGATTTTTGGCGGTCCTCGTTGAGGCCATAGTCATCGCCTTTTACCTTGACTTTAAGATTAATCATTCGACTGTGTCCCATCGTCCCACTCTGGAGCACTATGCATGGCATAGACTAACTCTCCCAACTAAATAAATGTACAAGGTACACCGTAGCCAGCCAGCTAATCACATACTGCAAACTGCAGCCTCCCTGTCTCTTTTGGCCAGCAACCCTTGATTCCATGTATGTGGAACTGTGGAAAGATTGGAAGGAGCGCCACTATACTACCGTACTGGTAACAACTCATTCAAAGGATGATCCGCCAGGTTGCGAATACATTCATGCCAAATGCAATTATTATTTCTAGCCTTCCTGTTCTTTGACTGGTCTACTTTATTGAAAGGCTAAACAACGAGCTGGGAAATATCATATCTCCTTGTAACACAGAATTATCCTGAAGGTACTAGTACCGGTGGACTACCGGTACCGGTACTGTAGCTAGACCTCGACACTCGGCACAGAAGACTTGCAAATGCATATTATTTTATAACCAAGGTTGATATGAAATGTACAGCTGGACGACATTAGAAACGAGCGCGGGGGGCCACTTTACCGGTCCTGTGTGTTCTTGTGCGTTGCTCGAGGTGCGTGCGAACGTGTCTGGGCGGCTGGGCGGGATTTGTGCGGTCGGGCTACAGCCGTACCGTACCCAGCCCACCGTATGCGTACCGTTGCATACGGTAGACTACAGTACCAGGTACCACTTACCGTACAATAAATACCGTAAATGAAAATAATGCAACTGATGCAACCGTAACCCGTTCACTCATGTTCACTGGGCACATTGACACATTGACACCGTCACTCATGTTCGCGTTCACTGGGCACAATGGCCAACCAGGGAATCCCGTGGGGATTCGATTCGATTGTTCGTGCAGGAGGGGCTCCGGTAATCCCCAGATGACGTCACGATAAACCCCAAAGTTTGGCGAGTCGTGAGAAGTCGCGATTAGTCGCTTAAAGTCGCGCGATTCCACACGGATTCTCGAACAAGTCTTCACGACTCCACGCGACTCCACGCGACTCCTTGCGACTCACTTCTTAAATACTTGTATTTATCTCGATATAGTGTCGCGACTCCACGCGACTCCACGCGTCTCTACGCGACTTTATACGCGTTTGCGCGCGACTGCTTGCGATTGCACACCACTGTGGTCGCGACTGCACTCGCACAACTGCTATTTCGGGTGGGATCCCCAAAAGGCCCCTAAACCGGTGGCCCTCCAGGCCAAGAGTAGAGTTCTTCTATCAGTACGTACCCCGCAGTGCTTATTAGATCGTGTGCTAGCTAGCTAGCTAGCTAGCTAGCAGTGCGTTGGGTAGACAAACTGTTCCTATTTTGCCACACAGCCACTACATGTTAGAACTGCAAGAAAAGGATTCGATTCATCATTCGATAGGCGAGGCGATGGGCGAAAGCTACTTCTGGCTGGCAGAAAGAAGACGGTTCAATTGAATCGAATCATTCTGATTCGCTCGTTTCGTTCCTGCACAGAGCTTCGTACCAGTGGCCACGGCGTGCTTCAAGACTAGCACAGCTTCCATCATCAGACTCGATAGAATCAGCCTGGGCCTTTATCTGGATGCAACAAGGTAGAGTACTACAGTAGTAATAACACTTGGTTGCAGAGAAAGCACAAGGTTGTCGAATGAATACTATTAGCTCGATTTGCCCAACCCATCTGGGGCTTTGGTAAACCGCGACTGGCTGACTTCTCAGGCTCAAGCATCCATCTTTGCTTCTGGCGATTGAGCTGTTGACCCCTGGTGCCCTGTGAAGACGAAACACAGTGGGGTTCTGCAACACAGCACGGGTGTGGAGGAGCCGAAAGGAGCAAAATGTGAGACAAGAGCTGACGAGCAAACCAGCAACCAAGATGGATCTCTACTACTGGTACTGGTACAGTAGACGGTTTGACGTATCGTACATGAGCCACTGTACGTACGGTACCGGTACCGGTACCTGGTTGTGACTACGGTATCCAAACTTCAAGCTGGTTTCCAAAGATATAATGATGTTTCATCAAAGTCACAGATGAGTTAGGTTCCATGACCACCTCTCACATTTATTTGTCTCAAGACCAAACTTGGTTTTGGACGTCGTTCTCAATTTCACCAAAGAAGCCGCCCAAAAGCGAATCCGAAATGCACATGCAAGGATGTAAAGTGGCCGACTCGACTCCGTGCTTGGAATCTTGCAATTGAAAAAAGCATTCTGAAACTGGAACCATACATAGTTGGTTCATAAACTGACGTCTCCTCGCTAATTGCATCCATCTAACTTGTCGATCCATCCCATGTGCCGAGCATCCTTCTCTCCTGCCCCCGCGGTGGTTCATCCCAACATTGCTCTTGTTCCAGCGTCCAATGCAACCAAGCAAGTCGATGTTTCCAGTGCTAAGAAAGTAGATCGAAAACTCGTTTCTATTCTCCATCCAAGTTCCTACGATGATTCGTGCAACCCTCTCAAGAGTTGCAAGAGCACGACGAGCGTCCCAGGACTTGTCGCCGTTAGGGACGTCGAGGAGAGCTCAGCTGTGAGTCGAGGCTCTTCCACAGACTCACTCCAAGATTCTTGGAATGATCCCGAACATGTACAGGAACCACCAAAGCCAAAGCTTTCTTTTCACCCAAGGGTTGTGGTGCATGAGTTTCATCGGCTCCCCGGGTCGAAGCAGGCGTTATGGTATTCTGGTGCTGAGTTGCGCGAGTTCCAGCGAGAAGCTGTTTCGCTGGTTCAACAACACGATCGCAAGCATTGGAGTGGTTTCTTTCGTCGTGGTCCTGCCAAGTTCTCGCACTGTCATCCTGCACTGGGGTTTTCAAGCGACGACAGTGATGACGCGGTTGACCAGGCACAGGATGACCAGGCAGAAGATCAGAGCGCAGCAAACCAAGTCCGACGGATTCTGATTGTGGACACGCATGATTTGTCCCTCAAGTTGCTCGCGAAAGGGTTCCAAAGAGCCTTCCCTCGTGCCACTGTCTCAATGGCCAAACGAAGTAACGAGGCGATGGACTTGTGTCAAATTGAAGGAAACTATTACGACATTGTTGTGGTCGAGGAAAGGCTGAGCCTCTTTTGGAATAGATCGGAATCTGGGTCCGCTTTCTTGCGATCCGTTCTGCATCTCCGCCAGACGCAGCAGTGGAGGCCTCTTTGCATTGGGCTTAGTGCTCACATCGATTGCGACCGAGCCACTCTGAAGGAAAGCGGGGCTGATATCTGCTGGTGCAAACCGCCCCCAGATCTGAAGAACAGTGCAACTGTCCGAGGACTCTTGGAAGCACTCAAAGCCAAGCGCTCGGATGACTAAACGATCCACGGACCCATCAGCAAAAAACAGATTCACCCTGTAAGGGATTACCTCAAGACCGAGGACTCAGAGCTCTGGTGCAGCCAAGTGCTTGCTGCCTTGAATAACACGAAACCAGCGCGACTGTCTTTCGCAGATTTTGCAGTGCTCACAAGGCGTGAGTGCTATTGACCACTTAATTGTACATGTACTGTAGCTTGGTAACTTTCAACTAGAGGAGAACCGAACCTTTGTCGCTTGGCTATGGATAAAACACCAAGTGCCGGTAGCTAGCTAGTGGGAGTCTCTTCTTGAGTGCGTTGGGGGGCTGGGGGTCGGATGGGCTTCTTCTTGGGTTCTCTTAAGCTGCTTTTCATCCCAGTAATTTACATGCCTACTCAGTAGTAGACAGAGTTGCACCCTTTGGTGCCCTCAACAGCTCCTCAACTCTTCATGTTGTCTTCCCGCGATTCACTCTCGCATACAAATAGGCTACCTGGTACCGGTACCAGTACTGGAGCTTCTCATGCAGCCAGCTAGTAGTGGGAGTTGGCCTTGTCAGGGATAGGTTCCGGTAGTTTCTATGGTACCGGGACCGGTAGGGACCCTGCTCTTGCTTCCTCCCCACTACGGCCTTTGCCATTGCCTTTCCCAAAGCATTCCGTTTTGTTCACTTAGCTACCTCCGGCCACTGTGCAGTAACCCCCGAATGCCTGAGGGCAAAGCCTCCTAGAGCCCCATTGCCACATAAGCGGGCCACTACTGATACCATATTGCTAAGCTACTGTACGCTACAAGGTCGGGTCGGGGCTACCACTAGTACTACAAAGACAAGTCATCAGAGGAGTTCTCTCTGCCATAACGATGCTGGGTCCATCATGAATACGCGAAGTGGATCCATGTTGGGGTTGCTTGTTCCGATTTGCAGAGTTAGTTGGAGGATGGGTCTGGTTGCACTTGCACTGTATTGTATTGAGCGATGTGGTTTGTCTTCTGTCTTCTGTGTATGTACAGCATGCTCATTGATGGAATGCAGGCCCACGATTTTGTAGGCCTATTCAATGGAGCGGGTAGACCCACCCTGCAGAAGTGAGGTACCGTAGGGCTGTCCGCGGGTGTTTTTGGGCAACTTGATTGTGGAAGCCCTGAGGGGTGTGAACGCACTTGGTTGCAATGACCTTAGTCTCACAGCTCCAGAGGAGGAGGACCATGGATTTGTAGAACACGCCTGCTGGTTTTCAAGTTCCTGTCTAATATTCCGTGCATGGATAGCAGGCAGTTTCCGCCCTAACCGGTGCGCGATACGCGATTGGGCCCCACAGCTACCGCTCAAGCCAGAAGAGAAGATGCAGGGCAGCACAACCAGATACCACTCTCAAAGATTCGGTTCGATTCAATCATTCGCGAGCCCAAATTGTTTTCGCGCCACACGCAGGCAAAATGGATTTGTCTACGAGTCGAGTCTGGGTCTAAAGATGCATACGTACGCATCTAAGGTTCAATGTAATGTTCTCTTTAGAAGTTATGGTAGATCTAGTACGAGGTCATAAAAGCAAACGAATAGAATGCAGGCATGCATGCATGATCAGCTGTTGATGTTGTTGCCTTTCGCTATAGTCAAGACACACCGATTCGACCCAGCTGGAACCCCATTGTTGGAATTCCAGCAGCCAAGTCCTCCTTTTGGCAACACTGATGCATTCATAATGTAATGTGGTAGGTCGAAAGACGAATCGAATCCACTGCGAAGATGGGTGAAACCCTGGCTCGGGAAGAGAGGATTTGACAGACCCGTTCCACCGGCAGTCCTTTCCGCCCACCAACTGTATGAACATGGATTGACGTGCATTCCCCATAATACGTTTGGTGCTTGCGATCGCTACCGCAGACCCAAATTGCTTGTTGTTCGTTTGTGATTGGATTTGCAGTCGACGGTACGGGAGAACTGTTGATTGTTTCTTCACTGTTTTTGTTGTGGTTGATTCGCCTCGTGATGATTATCGTGCGTACCACCCGAAGCGGTGGCGACCATCAAATCTCGAGCCCTTTCGTGCTGGCCTCGTTTCATTAATAGTCGATGCAGCATTTCTTCCAACAATGTCTGACTGAGTGTGGGCAACGGCGCTTTGGACCAACAAAAGTCGGCTCCACTCTGCACCATGGTAGCATGATCCGTTTGCCAATGGGCACTGACACCGACAAGGAGACACGGATCAGCCGTATCTTGCTTTTTGAGATGCGAGATGAGAGCCGATCCGGACATGAGTTTGTTTCCGGATCGCCCTCGTCGATGAAAGAGGGTCAAGCGTTCCTCGGCAATGACCACGTCAAAGGCGCGTCGTTGTTGTTGTTTTTGTTGGTAAAAGAGATGCAAGGCTTCTTCACTGGAATGTGCCGTAACAATGTGAACATGCGGCAAGGCTTGTTTCCACTTTTTGGAGAATAGAGTCATGAAAATGTCGTGAGGATCGACCATGAGGATGTTGCGGACTTCTTGTTGCAACATGAGATGCAGACTGGTGGACATGCTACCAGTAGTAGTGGCACTAATGGTTGTGGAGTCTTCCGCATCGTTAGGAAAGGCAATCACGTGAGGAATGGCAACGACTCTCTTGCTGCTGCTCGCGGGTGACAGTTGTTCCATCTCCATAGCAGATACCCACGAGTTTCCGTCGTATTCGCGGACCGAGACTCGTTCGTTGAAGGAGATGCGTCTCCTGGGTTTGTTCCAAACAGGTTCTTGTTGGTTCTCTAATCCGGCAGCAGTGGGAAAGGCGGGATCCGATTGACACCGCAGGCTGCTTCGGAGGCTCGTTGGCGTTGGCGGCGTCTGCGTCATCGCCTTCATGTCGACCACACTGCTGATGGAAGAGTCCGAAAAGCTGCTGTTGGAAAGTCGGGGAATCAGAGGTGTCATGATAATGTAATAGATACCCTGTTGCTAGCCTGTAGAGTACCAGTGAAAGAAAGAGCACAAGCAAGTGCAGCAACCAAGCCGGTGAGACAACCACAACACTACAAATAGGCGTAACATGCAAAAACTGCAATCCCACCGAGTTGTTTCGACAGAGACACATGGAGGATCATGTGGTACATGTACATGTACACACCAACCCATCAGTTCCATCACACGCTCACCAAACCAAACAACACCCAAGACAATAGGTACTACTAGCTATTGCGTTCCAAAAAACGATTCACTTGTACGCGGGAGAATAAAAAAGACGCCCATTGTGCTCACCTCGATTGTGTTGTGGTTCCAGTATTGACAAAACGACTAGACTCCGTTATAGTAGAGATAATGGCTGTTGACAAAGCCGGTTTGTTGTCAACTCCTCACCCACTCGTACAAGGAGCCAAGTGAAGTCAATGAAAAAGAAGAGGAAGAAGAAAAGAAGCAATAGAAGGTTGTCAGCCTATCAAACCAACGAAACCTGCCGCCGCTACACTCCACTACTTGTAAATCTACCTGTTCCGCACACAGCAGCATCAAAGGTATCTTTTTCAGCCGGGTTCCCCAAAAGAAGAACCCTTTCATTTCAGCATTGGTAGTTTAGGCAATTGGGTCCAGAGATAAAAATCACTTTACACTGTTTTTTGAAATAGTTTTACCACACCTACCTGATAAAATGTCACCGCTTCTGTTTTTTGTTGAGGTGGCACAGTGCCACGCACTTGGTATGATTAGGGTTACCAGTAGCATCGAACAGCTGTGCATGTCTCAACCTTTCCCATTGTCAAGGCTTTGGTGCGGTCGGTTACATGAACGTACCGTTGCCCTCTGCGAAAGATTGCTCAAGACGCTGCATCATGACAGCTACAGTAGACAAAGTAACGGGCTATACCTGTCTACAATGGATATGATACCATAATCCAAACAGCTGGGATGCTCGTGTCCATGTTCCGAGAATCCCAGCCACCCCTTGATGTTCATGGTTGTCAGTGTGGACCAGCCATTAAAACCTGCAAACTGTGTCAAGATTCGAGAGAAGCAAATGGAGTATCTTTTAGCATCAGAAATAATATCTTTGTGCCCGTTTGGATGGAATGGAAACTAAAAGGTTTGTTAGTTGCTTCCCACACTGCACGCACCAAGAAAGCAAAGGCCACGTCCTCACCACAAGCAGCCTTTATCTGGCTGGCTGGGGTGGCATGTTGCCAGCGGTGAGCCTTCTAGCTAGACCAGCCCAAATCCAAAATACACACTTGAATATCCCAGCAACAAGAGATGTTTGTATTTTGTCTTCTTGATGCTTTTAGGAGGCTCTCGTCCTGAGACTCTATCATTTGCTCTTGTGCAGCATGACCCGACTCGGCTCGACTCGATCAGAAGAAGTGGGAGCACGAGAGTGATCAATGGAGTCGAGTCGAGTCCATTGTCCTCTCCTCCACTTATGGGCAACCAAGAGTGCTACGAGGTCTGAGGTCCATCAGGGACAGCAGTGGGAAAGAAAGCCATGGCTGATAGGTCAGCAAGGTCAACCACAATCTGACGGTGGCAGGTACTGAAGAAGGAGCGCCGTGATGCAGGCGAAGGCATGGTGTAGACTAAACCGTTGCTTGCAGCCATTGCAGCGCTAGTAGAGTGGTGTTGGAGATGGGAGTCAAACCTCGGTGATGATAGATGGTACATGTAGATGGTAGAGAGGGTCACATGACAGATTTCGGTTTTAGGATTCGTCGAGTTACCACGTATGAACGTAATAATAACGTGTCTGTGTGCTGTTAGAAGCTTCTATCGCTAGCTAGTCTGTGTTTTTTAAGTGTCTACAGAATACTGAGTATATTCTACTGTGGTAGTGTATTAATTAAGTGCGCGCACAGTTATGATCCATCATAAATGTCGTCATGTCGGAGCTCTGATTATTGTTTAAAAATCAGGAACCACTGAAGGTCACAAGAGTGCAGCCTTCGTTAAGTTTTGTTTCATACATATGCTTATTTTATGGACAAAGACCCTGCTGTATGACTGTTTGGTTACGTTACCGTCCACTACCCACTATTAATACACGTACTGTTCCAGTAGCTTCTTCTACCGGTACACTAGCTAATAGCTAGCTGGCACCGGTACTGCATGGTCCCAAGAACCCTCATCCCTCCCTCCTCTCAGCACTTCTTGCTCGCAAGGAACTAAAATGCACTATGCACAGTTCCCACCTGCGCTTCATTACTCTCTCGCTTTTTGTGTTGTGCTTCCCACAAAGATTTTTAACACACTGTTTAAAAATTGATTGAATCATTCCATTGAAGAGGCCAAGACACTGTGCAGAACCATGGCAGCCATGAACGAAGAAGACCCAATCATTATGGTAGACGAAAGCGAGTGTGATGACTCGAGCCACTGTGACGAGGCCGTGGCCAAGCCCACAGCTCGCCAGCTGCAGGAAGCCGAGGAGAAGAACAAGTTGCTACAACGAAATGAAGAGAAAGCCGTATCTTGCGTTCGTGTTGCTGTCTACTGTGTTGTTGTTATCACTGCCATTTCTGTGACTTTGGCGGTCTACTTCTACACGAAAAATGAACAAGAGAACAACTTTCAGACTGTTTTTGAAATCTACGCCAACAAGTTGGCAGAGTCATTCATTGATTCGGTAGATCGCAAGATTGTTGCCATTGGAGGGCTCTCCACCACTATCACCAACTATGCATTGAGGTATGTGGGAGTGGAGAATGGATTGCAAATGGAGTTCCTTGGGTCTCTTTCTTACAACTGCTTCTTCCTTTCAGCAATGGTCTGACCTTTCCCAACGTGACCATTGATAACTGGATTATGTTGGCTGGTCAAACGAGGGTACAAGCAGGTCTGTAACTTGAGGATACATTTTCTTGCTGGGCCAACTATAGTTATGCAATTCATCCTGACTATGTCATATGTATCTCTCCACCCGCCCAGATGCCATCAACGTGGAGTATGCTCCATTGGTGAGTGCAAATGGACCGGTCTTGCACAGCTTTAAAAACTCGAGTGCATGGTTGTGGTGAAATGTCTTATGTTGTGATATTGTGATATCTCTCAGGTGACCGATGATAATCGACTTGGCTGGGAGGAATACGCCTTTAGCCACAAGCAATGGCAGCAAGATCAGTGGGAGGGGGAACTCAAATTCATGGAGTCACAGAATCAATACTTTGGACTGGAGGAAGACGTGATTGAGGACGCTCCTGGTTCAGACAGATCACAAAATGAAGAGTCATCGGAGGGAGAGCCACCACCAGAGAATGAACTACAGCCAAGCCAAGAAGGGCAGGGTCCACCTCCTGAGAATGGGCAGCAGCCGCCACAGAGGTCCCTTGAAGAAGCACCGCCAGCTGGAGATGAACCAGGCTACACCAGGCAGATTTTTGGCTTGGGACCTCCACCAATGAGTGGTCCTCCGGCATCAATTCCAAAGCAACAAGCAAGTGGACCCTATGCTCCGTTCTGGCATGTAAGTTTCTTTTGCAGTTCAGCGTTGTGTTGTATGCATGACCGCTGAAAATCTCTCGTCCCGTCTTGCTTGTACAATAGATGTCCCCCATCCTTCCTAGGGACTTCCTATTGAATCTTGATCTCTTGTCCCGTCCCAGCTCAACTGATTCGATTGTTACCGTGCTCGAAACTCAACGTGCAGCGCTCGGTGGTGCGGTTGGTGTCCGCGATCCGAGCAACACCACACTCGCGGAATTAGTTCCTATTAGACTTACGAATGATTACGTCCAACGTGGACAATACAGACACGAGTTGCAATTCTTCTCGGGAGATGCCACAACTACTCTGACTTACCCCGTGTTTGATTCCTTTGGGGCAAACAGGACCGTGGCTGGGTTCTTGCTGTCGCCCCTGATGTGGCGCTTAAACTTTGAGAAGATTGTTCCGGAAAGTCTAGGAGGCTTTATTGCTGTAATCAAGAGCAAACAGAGTGAGCCCTTCAGCTATCGCATAGAAGGTCCAAAAGCAACCTACCTGGGGATCCAAGACTCCCATGCCTCCAACTATGATGACATGTTTGTCTTCCAAAACATGGAAGAAACCTTGCAGGTCCTACACAGCCCCAGGAACCAAGCATTTGATGCTGTGCAAGTCGATTTTGGCGAATACGTCCTGTACATTTATCCCACTGAAGAACTTGAGAGCCAGTACATTACTAACAAGCCGGCTGTATACGCTTTGATTGTGGCCTCGGTCTTTTTGTTCACTATCTTGGTGCTGGCCGTGTTTGACTTGCTTGTGGCCCGACGACAGCAGGTTGTGATGAAGAAAGCTGTGAAGTCCCGCGCTCTAATTGCCACCCTGTACCCAGAGCAGGTCAGAGAACGTATGTTTGAAGACGGCCCGAAAGGAAATGTTGAGAGGAGAAAGTGGAAGAATCCTGGTGAAGCAGGAATTCAAGAGGAAAGCACAAAGGCAATTGCAACACTCTACGAATCTGCAACCATACTCCTCATGGATCTGGCAGGATTTACCGAGTGGAGTTCCGCTCGTACTCCTTCTGACGTGTTTGAATTGCTGGAAACACTTTATCAGAGCTTTGACCGTATTGCGTCAAAACGTGGTGTGTATAAGATTGAGACGGTAAGTCCTGTATCTGGATCTCGTTGTTGTCACCGTACGCGTGTATGTCCTCCCAAGGCTGACTATTTTTGAAATGCACTGTTCTTGCGATGGTGTAGATTGGTGATTGCTGGGTGGGAGTCACTGGTAGGCTCAGAGTTTGGACATGACTGCACTTGAGGAGGGATGATGCTCACCTTCACGCTTGCTTGTTGCCTTTCTTCGTATTCTGTGTAGGAGTCCCTAACCCTCAAAAGGACCATGCACCGCGGATGGCCAAGTTTGCGGCAGCATGCCAAGTGAGCATGGGACAACTCGTTGGGAGCAAACTTGCTGACCGACTGGGTGCAGATACGGCCAACTTGAAACTGAGAGTGGGGATGCATTCGGTACGTTTTTAGACAGCAGTCTGGGATACTTGGCAATGCCTGTTTGCATCCACCAGAAAGGGACGGAGCTTACCTCTTGTGTCTCAATCGCCCAAAGGGTCCAATAACAGGTGGAATATTGCGTGGAGATAAAGGCCGTTTCCAGGTAGGTACCAGCCGCTAGGTTTTGTTTCCACCAATCGCACTTATTACTACAGCGGGTAATCTGACCTCGACACACTTCCCATAGCTTTTTGGAGATTCGATCAACACCGCGTCTCGAATGGAAAGCAATGGAGTTCCTGGAAAGATACACGTATCTCAATCCACAGCAGACGAGCTGATTAGACATGGCAATCGAGATTGGTTGACAGAACGGGAAGACAAGGTCGAGGCAAAAGGCAAGGGTTTGATGACGACATACTGGGTGGCCGTGAAAAGCAGCAGGAGCACCGGAACAAGGGCGTCATTGATGTCTTTATCGGACGAAACCGGCGGGTGCTTTGCAGAGTACCAGTATGACGCCCCAGCTACATGTAGCATGGGCGCTGAGTCACAGTCCGAACGGTTCGATGTGGGAGGGAGACCAGAGCAGGGTCGAACTACATGTCTTCAGCCTGGAATTGTCGAGCTTGGGGTATAGCATATTTCTTGCTATGGTACTGTAGCAAAAGTAGTATGAAGATATCGACTGCTGTTTGTGACTTTCAAGAATTACATTTCCCGCTGTTTTAGCTGGGATAAGAATCTGATTGACGACATTTGGCCCCTCCTTTTAGCTAGTTGCAGTGCTAACTAGGGAGCACCCTCATTCCTCTTTGCTTTACATAGAGTGGGCAAGATGCAAGTATAGTGAGATAGATTGTGGTTTTGGCGGCAGCCAAGGCACGGCTGATTTCTTAGCCAAACAAGCTCTCAACACTGTCTCGGGAAGAAATTGTGGGTGTGTTTGGTTGGTTGGTGGACCTTGACAAGATGCACGAGAGCGGCAGTCTCCTTAGCTTGCTTCAGCACATCGGTCGGTCCAGGCTCTTTTCCTGGCTTGCCACCGGCACTGACTGTTAGACGACCGGTTCCTGGACCGGTATCTGTACGTTTCCCAAAGAGGAAAGAGGGTAGCTCTGCACGTGCTGAAGCTGGATAGTTCGAGCCGTCGTAGTCTTGCTTTCGATGACGTGCAGCCTACCACAGCAAAAGTAAGTCAACAACGCTTATACCAAAGGCTGGGTGACGACCCCATGCAGGATCGAACGGTCTTTCCTCAGTAGCTCCTCAGTACAGCGCATGCTGTCATCCCATCTCGGACTTTTACTGTGGTTATTTCAGTAGGTATCGGTACCCATAGGGGGGGGGGGGGGATTTTGGCAGCGCTTTGATGTGATGTACCGATCTTTCGCACAAAATACAAAAGACAGTAATATCTTTGACACGAAATTGGGTTGGTTGATCAATCGATCAGAAGAATTGCCGTCAATATCACCATACGATTGCTCGTTACCAACAGAACGGCGTCTAAGCGCCCACTTCCTTGAGTTTGCCCGTGAAACTTTTTGTTCCGATGAAATTGAATCGAACCTTCGAAGCCTTGGGCTGCGTCTTGATACTGACGCTGCTGTTCCCTTCCATTACCTCGGCAGATGATGCTAGCATCTCAGCATGCCAGAGTTGCAAAGACAAGATTCCTGCCTCCCGGGCATGTGTGGAAACATGTGACAACAGCTGCCTGGTTGCTTTTGAAGAGCCAGAACAAGTCATCCTTTGCTACCAGTTCAATGCCACTTGTATTGCGATAGTCGAAGATGCCGCTGACTGCTTTGATGACTGTCTGGATGATTGTGTCTCAGAGTCTGCTGCTGATTATGGCGTCTGCCTTACCCTTAACAATGGCATCGGTGGTTGTGATGCTGCTGCGTGTGAGGAGGCCAAGGCCAACCAGCAAGCCATTGACAGTGGCAATGTGCAAGGTGAACTGGACAACCTAGAGAACCAAATTGACCAAACTGAATCAGATATTCATAATCTAGAGTCGGAGATCGAAGACACCGGTAGGATTCGATTCTTGTCCTGCCTGTACCATGGCAAAACGTTTCCTTGACACCTTGCCCACTCACCCCCGTCTTTGTCCAACAGAGGAAGCAATTGAGGATAACGAGGATGAGGTTGATCAACTTGGTATGTACTTTTCCTTGCTATTCTTGACTCCTGTGACTATTCTATCTCACTCTTGTTGCCCTGTGGAAATCCAGAGGAGGAGGCGGAGGACCTGGTGCAGGACCAACTCGAGGATTTAGGGGTGAGTACCCGTTTGTGGAATGGTGAGCAGAAGCTTTCCTTAGGCCATTGTCGTGCTCACATTCCCTATCACCGTTGAACCATGATACTGGATGAAGGGATGGGGCGTAACACCGATTGACCGATTGACCGATTGACCGATTGGGTACTCAATTAGATTTAGGGGCCCATCGATGAAATGGCCCAGGGCTATCGGTATCCATCGGTGAATCTCGACATCCATCGGTGAAGTGTGGCTGCCTATCGAAGCCCATCCAAGCCCATCCAAGGCCTCACAGATGTCCCAGAGTCTTCCCCAAGTCTCACAGAAACCCTCAATCAGCCTCGTCTTGGATCTCATCATCTTCCCCAGCCTCACTTTTACCAGAGGACTTCCTCAAGTACTGTTTCGTTTTTCTCCAGTAATCCTCGCAAAAGTTTTGCAGCGTGGGACCTCGACCATCACCAAAGTCAGCAGCCAGGAAACTCTCTCTATCCTCCAAGGCAATAGAAACCCGTATGGTATTGAAACTCTTTCAGTTCACCATCATCGTCGTCATCACCATCTTCATTTCGACGTACTCTGTGGGTGAGGAAAGGATCCATCACAGCTATCCTGCCTGTACAGTTTCGACAATAGAAATCTTCCCCAGGCAGGGTACTATCATGGTACGACCATCCCAGATTTGCCGGGCTTCTCCTCGACGAATTGCTGTTCCCAGTGCGCCGTTTCTTTGGAGGTGCTGCCTCCACCTCTGTCATTGTTTTGACCTTGACCTTTTTCTTTCTCTTGACTTTGGCAGGGAGTTCCTTGGGAGACTCTGGCTTCTTGGGAAGCTTTCGCTTAGTCTTGACTGAAGCTTTCTTGGGAGGAGACTTTGACTTCTTTGGAGGGGACTTGGATTTGTTCGTTACAGACTTAGACTTTTTTGGTGGCTTTGGGTCTTTCTTTTCGGTAGGCTTCTTTGAAGCGGAAGTCTTACCAGCACGTTTTTTTTCCAAGTTTTCCCTTTTCAGGGTTTCCTTTCTGTCCTTTTCGACTTTCTGGACATAGGCTTTGAGTTTGCCATGTTTTGATCCCTCTGGCTCTGGTATGTGGTCGTCTCCGTCACTGTCACTGCTGCTTCCACTGCTTGTGCTCATTTCATCCCTTTGATCCAGGGATTGACTTGTTCCTTTTGCTTTTGACTCATGTTCAGATGGTGGTGGTTTCTGGGTTAGATCTTGTGGTGGGTCTTCGTATTTGAATCCTGCCGCCCAGAGGTGTTTCTGAAACTCCATTGGAGGGGGATCTTGTGAGGAGTGATCGATGTCCACGACTTCATAGTACAGGGAGTCCACTGCATAATAGTGGTTGCCTGCTCTCTGGCCACCGGATGCTCTTCTGCAGAATTTATAGCGCTCTCCGCTGGCTGACATCCCCCTACCATCATAGAACAAGTATCCGTCAGGCATGGCAACAAAACTCCGGAAGTGAACACCTACAGAGACCAGCATTCCAGATTGCAAGATGAATCTTTTGTCACCATAAGTGAACTGCTCTGGAGCGAAAGACCCGGGAAAAGAGTCCTCTGGAATTTCCTTCCACCTGGATTCTGAGCACCTTTACGTTTGGAAGATGGAAAAACCGAAACATCTGGCTGTAATGGCACTTGGAGACTGCCCACCGGTGGAATGAATCCTCCCTTCTGAAGCTCAACCATCCGCTCAAAGTAGACAACATTGGCTCGTTTGACCTCGAGATCTGCTTCTGCGTACTCAACCTGTGCACGTTTCTTTCGAAGCTCCCCTACAGCAGTGTGCAAACTGACATC